TTCTTTTAAATCCCCCCCCCCCGTCTTCTGTTTTTCACTGGCTACTTTGAAGCTCTTCAATATTTCTAATTAGTTAATTGAGCTGATTGGATTCATAAAACTCTGCAGTAAGCATTTCTGGTCTTCAGGCCGTCTCTACATTTTACACTTCCCTCCTCCCTCACCCTCCTCCTTCCCCCCTCCTCACCCTCCTATAATATCAGCCTGTCTTTTGATTTGACTCTTCCCTAATTGGACAATACAGATGAAATTAAGCTGCAAAAAAGTTTTAATCCCCGTTCAGGAACCACACGATGATTCTTCAGACAGAAATAGTGGAGCTTTTTTTTTTCTTCTTTTGTTCATGTGACTTCCTGTGATACTCCTCACGGTCGACGTTCATTTTAATAATAATAATATAAAAAAAAAATGAATTCAATCCTAGAGGGTCTGAAATGAGAAGTTATGAGAAGATTGTTGATTTTGTTTTTGTGTCACTTAAACCTCATTTATATTTGATTTGCCTTTTGACTGCACTGGGTCGAGACAGGTTCATTAAAACTTTTTTTAATTTTAGGACTACCTACAAAAAACCTAACAGTAAAACGATGTCGTGACTTATTCCATAAATCTCACGTCTATTTTGAGATTTCCATATTTGAAGTGATTAAATCCTCGCCGTATCTTGTTGATCACATTTATTTAATCCTTGATTTTTTCTGTCTTTCTGGGTTTTTAAGGTGATGAACGACTTCTTATTGATTTTTTTTTTCCTAAATGAAAATGCTTTGTTTATCACTTGATTTACTGGCCTCGCAGTGTTTTTTTAACTTTCCTGAAAAATAGGACTTTATTTCTTGCTTTCTGAACGATCGTTTGTCAAAAGGAGACGGGAGCGATTTGTCTTTATTGTCTTTAAAAAGAAATGAGCCCAACGTCCTTTTCTGCTAAATGTGTTTTTTTTTATCTCGTTCTTTGTCTTAAAAGTAATAAGATGATCCTTGAAGTTTTTTTATTTTTATTATTACTCATCATTTAAGTGGTTCGGCTTAAGTCAGTGGTTCCAAAATTAGGGGGCGGGCCCCCCTTAGGGTGCGCTGAGATTTTTCTGGTTGTGAATCAAGACATTTAAGCGTAATGTCACTGTTTTCTTTCTGGGGAAATTGAACAGATTTGAAATTTATTTCTTTTGCTCAGTTGGATTAACAATTTTGGAGCGATGTTACTGGTACTTTTACTGCTGGGTACTGGTGCTTTTACTGCTGGGTACTAGTACTTTTACTTCTGGGTACTGGTACTTTTACTGCTGGGTACTTTCTCTGCCTCAGTAAAAGGTTGACCTGTGTGTAATGAACGTCCTTGTGCCCCCTACTGGGCTGTAAAACACAATCACATCAAAGCTTTTTCAACCGTTTCATCTGTATTTGTTAGAAACATTTGAATCCAGTCGACTGTTGGTTTGTTTTGTCTTAGACTAAACAGGAATAAAACATGGGTTTCAGTTCAGATGTGTGTGTTTAAAGATGGTCTTGACAGTTTCCTGATCCTCCACCAGGGGGCTGCTGTCACCGTGGGGTTAATCACATGTTATATGACGGACCTGGGATCTTATGAAGGTGGTTTCATATTTGTGCTGAAGCTGCGTGTGAAAGTGTGTCATAGCTCCACCAACAGGAGGACATTAGTCTCTGCATCTTTTTCAAATCAACTAAATGAGTTTCTCAGCTTCTCATTGGCTGAATATCTGACGCCTTCACATTATAACCTGTTTTTGGTCTCATTGCTGCTGTGTTTAACGGTGATCAGCACTGCAAAGTCATTTGGCCTGTTGACTTTTATGGTTTTGGTGAACAGAGTGCACTGTGGGTAATGGACAGGTAATAAATGTCTTATTTTTTTTATTTAACTGTTTCCTGTCCCTTTTATTGGTTCGCGTCCATTTCTGCAGTGAGGGACTAGGACCATGTGACGTAGACGTTCTACTGGGTTCCTCGTGTCTCCGTACAGATGTTAGCAGCCCCAGACTGGGCCACTCTGAGGGACTGTCTGGTCCACATGTGGCCCGCAAGCCACCATTTGGATCGTATGTTATTCTTATGGTTTCTTATAATCATGTAGCCATTGGCAGGTTAACCGCAGCGGGGTCAAACTCTAAAAGTGTTAACCCTTTAAGCGAGGCTAGCATGGACCTGACAGTAGGGGGCGTTGTCAAAATTGGGAGCCGGACTTTCTTCTTACTAGGACTGGAGTTTGACATGTCAGAATATAAATCAACCTCCATGTCTGTGTAAGAAATCTTAAGGATATTGTACTGTTCAAATGGTGGTCTGCGGGCCACTTGTGGCCCAGACACAGCCTCAGAGTGGCCCGTTTCTGATCTGTAGAGACAAACTCACCCTCAGCTCATAAGAAAATAAAGCAGCAGTGATTCTGATCACACGATGACAGCGCGGGGCCTTCAGTGTGCGGCTCAGGGTGAAGACTTTGGTTCGTTTCCCTCGGACAGAAACGACAACAGTGAAGAATGAAATGATTCGCAGTAAATACCTGAGGAGCTGCGACAGGATTGGTCTCTCACTCACCCTCTGAGTGGACTGTGTTCGTTGATTACTATCTACGAAAGTGGGGCCTGAGTGCTGACGACTTCAGAGATGGAGAGATGTTATCACCACCTGTGGGCTGTCGGGGAACTGCAGCTCCACTCACATTAATACTGTTGTACTTCCTGTCTCTCTAACAGACCCCAGACCCATGGACTTTGGAAAAGATTCTGTTCATAACAACAAGCACCCGATCAATGGAGGTGAGCTGCTCCCCCCTCCTCCCCCCTCGTCTCCCTCTTCCCCCTCCTCTGTCCTTTCGTCTTTCTCTTGTTGTTGAGTTTTTTGTGCTTTCATTTAAACTGAGAACATCTTTATTTTGTTCAGTTAGTTTTGTGTTTCTTTTTTATTTTATGTTTATTTTTTTCATTAATCAATGAATGTTTAGGTATTTGTATAAATCCTTGTCTTTTCATTTTTCCCTCCAGACTACGTCCTCCCTGGTTGGCCGTCCTCCTTCTCCACTCCCTCCTCTGATTTGAACCCCCCCTCTGTGACCCTGGTGTCAGAGAAGGACAAGGACAACGCCTGGCTCTACACGCTGGACCCCATCCTCCTCACCATCATCGTGATGAGTTCTCTGGGCGTCCTGCTGGGGGCGGTGTGCGCAGGCCTGCTCCTGTACTGCACCTGTTCGTACAGCGGCCTCTCCTCCCGCTCCTCCACCACGCTGGAGAACTACAACTTTGAGCTGTACGACGGCATCAAGCACAAAGTCAAGATCAACCAACAGAGGTGCTGCTCGGAGGCGTGAAGACGGGAAGGTTTTTTTCCCGTTTGGACAAAGAGAGAAGAACTGTTTGTTTGTTTGTTTTTTTAAATACCCTCAAGTCCCCAGACGGATGTCCCGCTGCGTCAACTATTCTCTCATGTCCCGTGGGGTGACGTGAAACCCAGAACTGACGTGTCGGGCCTCGACCCCGCGACCCCAGTTTTTACCACCCAGGACCCCCGATCTCCTCCGCCTGCAGGAGACGCTGCTCGATTCTTAAAGCTTGTGAATGAATGAAGTAACGAACAGATCCATACAGTATGATAGACAGATGTCCCAGCAGCCATTGGGACACAGCTGAAGAGGACATGGACCACGGCCCCTGTGAGACGCCACAGACGGAGGACGTTCCCTTTGTCTCTTCGTCGGAGGCTTCATTTGAATGTGGGGGCGACAGCATGCAGGAATCACTGACTGTTGGTAAACAGTGGACCATGTGATGTGGGTACTTTCTACCCAAATGACCACATATCAAGGTTACGCCCCCCCCCCCCCCCAAGCCTCCTCGATTCCGTGCCCCAATATGAAAATGAAACCCCACGACTCAAAGGATTCAGATTTTTCTTAAAGTCAAACAAAACAAAAAAACACGATGGGAAGGACATTTTTTCTTTTTCTTTTCTTTATGTTTTTGAAAGTTCTAGATATGAGTTCTACCGTCCGTTAGCCCGCCGTACGGCGCTAGCTCACTCGCTCGCTCGCTCCAGTCTGCGCTTTGTGAAACCAGTGGCATAGAAGAGTGATGGTGACAGTTTAGTTTTGTGTCTGTTGGAAACATGGTGAAGAAAAGCCAGCTTCAGTTTGTGCCCCCCCCCCCACACAAACAACCCCCCACCGCCCCCCCGCCCCGTAGAGCTTTTAATGTCATTCTTAAAAACTTACTTTGTTAGCGTTGTGTTGGACTCCGCGGTCCCGACTGTTGACATTTTCTATTTTGACACATTTCCGTGACAGGTGAGAATCCGGACGCTGATGAGGAGTCGGGTCTAAATCTAATGCTGTTATGGAGTTGTGCTTTAGAACAAACGTATTCTAGAGTTTGTCTTTCGTATATATCTATATTTTTTGCTTTTCAAGACGTGTATGACGCCCAAAAAATGGACAGACACTGTGTCGACAAAATGTCAGTGATTGTTTTTTAACTGCAACCTATGGATTGCCAAAGAGCTGTGTTGGTGCACGAAGTGTTGAGAGAGTCTGAGCGGAGAAGGGACTGACCAATCAGCTGCCTGTTGACCACCGCTCTGGGTTTTCAGCCCGTCAATGAAGGACACTTAAAGACAGACGAAGGAAGAAAGGCCGAGGAATCCCAGCGTTGACTTTCTTCAACACACATTCGAGCCTTAAGCTAACTACAGTGTACGCTGTATCGGAGGACAGCCATTGAGGAGGGCCAGTGCTGCTGATGAAGAAGAGGAGGAGGAGGAGGAGGAGACGCAGACACGCACAAACACACAGAAACAAGAAGACATGTGGACAGAGAGACAGAGGGTTTGAAGACGACCGTGAAAAGTCTAGTTTTATAGTGAAGATTCTACGGACGATGCATGTTGTTAAAGATTTGACTTTTTCAAGCCCCGAAAAAACTCAAAAAAAAAAACATGTTACATGCAGTCGTCAGATTCTGAAGGAAACACAGCTGTGATCACGCTGCAGACTGATCTGATTGTTTTCACGACTTTGTAGGAACTCCCAAAGGGTTAAAGACCAAGAATCGTCAACAAAGTACAAATTAGATTTTTTTTTTTTTCCAGGTTCGTTTTTTCATTCTTGCTCCTAGATCAGATTCATATCCTGGGTTTCGAAGTGAAATCTCAGAGTGACTGATTGTCAGAGTCCATCTCCGTCCATCTTTATTTTTCACAAACACAGCGTGTGTTCTTCGTTCAGGTCTGTAGACCGTCCACGCTGACGTCCGATGGCGGTCACTAAACCTCAGATCTTAGCAAAAAAAAAAAAAAGAATTGTTGAACTAGACCTGCGTTGTGAACGTAGCCTGACGCTGCTGTGGTTTATTTAAATTAGTTAAAAGTTAATGGCTAGGTAACGAAACAACACCGAACATCCGAACATTTACACACACGCAGACGGAGAAACGTAAAACGCTCAAGTTGCCAATGTCAGTATTAATGATTTACATTTCTTTTAATGATTCCATCTCTTCATTCTCACATCAGCGCAATTTATTTTTCTTCGTTTTCTGCTGTGGCGCCCCCTAGAGGAGACAACACATTTGACCCTGAAAACTTCTCACTCTAAAGATTTTTTTTTTGGCGTTCATTCAGCCCTCGACCCCTAACTTTATCCTCACCACATCAGGCTGCTGACTCAGCACATGAACATATCCATTCAGATAATACACAGACAGACAGACACAAACAAACCTAACGAAGATGTGAAGGTCAAGTCCAAGGGTCAGAGACACAGAAAGGTCAGGGACGGTGAAAAGTCCCAGCTGACTTCTCCCTCCGTCTTTGTTTTTTCCTCAGTGTGTGAAGAATCCAGGTTCTAGTGTGTTTCTCTGGGGGGGGGGGGGGCCGGGGGGGGGGGGGGGGGA